AATAATTGTCAAAAATAGCACAGCTTACTTTGGAGGTGATTAAAAAAAAAAGAGATTAAATTATCACATCACCCTCCTACAAACCAAAACATTCCCAGTAGCCCCAACAGACAAAGAGTCAAATCTCTTACTCCCCAATGTTTACCTTGCTGACTGACAAGGTACTTCTGGCCAGCTGCTCTTCCCCTCAGCTGCACTGAGCAGCTTAAGCAGACACTGTGTTGTAAACACCCAGGAACACAGTGTCCAGCACTGGGGTATTGACAAATTTGTCACCCAGTCTAAAAATATCAACTGATATGTGACCCTCCCATCCTACTGCCCCAGTATTGCTCAGGCAGGAGGAAATTTCCACCAAGCTCTTGAAAGCATAAGCTATCCCAAGCCACTGTGATTTACATAAATAATGAAAAGTTTAATATATCTAGGCTGCATTCAGTCCTGGAATAACTCTGCTGGCCCTAGAGAGGTGACTAATGGGATTAACTTGGCCCTGTAAATTTAATGTGCTGAAAGAATGTTATTGTATGCTGTCATACATAGAGATCTAAGTGATTCTAGCTAGCCAGGATGGTATAAGGATACTCARCCTATGTTTATTCATTCATCTGTAGCTCTTTCCCTTTTCTGCTAATGCATCTTCCTCTCAACCTGCCCCTATCGTGGGCTCCTAGTGCAGCCTTTATCTAACCTTCAGGGCCCCCATTTAAAATTGTTTCAGGGTTTGGGGGCAATGCCCAGAAGTGGTGGCTGATGGCTTAAAACCTTCATCCCCCATGAAGCACCAGCCACAGATCAGGAGTCAGGGGAGCTGCCACAGCAGAGGCACAGGGAATATCCCTCCACTGCAACCTGGAGAGGTTAATTAGAGGACTGCGTGGGGATTAGGGAGGATGGGAGTGAGAGCTCAAGCTAGATCAGGGAGGCCAACATGGCCCGGGGCAAATCACATCAGTTCTTTCTGCTTCAGTTTGCTTGTACTTAGGCTGGGGGCAATAACTAGTTTACCTCACAGTCAGGTCCTCAGATTAGATGCAGGGAGCTGTGTGAAGYGCATAAGAACAAAATAGCACTGGCAGTTTGGTTTTGTAATACAGGATAATTCTTGCTGCCAGAGTGGTTCGTAATAAGGATGATTCTTTGCTGAATGGCAGGGATGTAGGAGATGAATGCAAAGTTAACAGAGAAAGATTTGGATCCTTTCAGACTAGAATCTTACAATAACAAGGTAATGTTTCACACTGAAGCAGCATGCTCAAGCAATGGGCTAAGGACACAAAAGGCAGATCTAGAACTGAATTCTTTTCATGCCCTGGTGTTAAGAGGCATGTGGGGCACATTCCATTACGAAGGTTCTGAWGACTGGCATCCCCAGAGTGCTGGATGCTCTCCATAGATGGGGAATCTGTTTCTAGGTATCTTGTGTGGAAGAGTTTTGCATTTTTTTTCTTCTTCACAGTATTTTGTCTTAAAAACACCCCTTAGTAATATCTCATCAAAAAGGAGAGCAGAGCTGCCACCTGTCCAGAATCATGATGTTTTTCTTAYCGTGTCTCTGTACTGGCTCATTACAGTGAGTGCTACTTGCTTGCCAAGGTCTTGTGGGGCTGCACTCCCTCAAGTTTGTATTAGGGCTCCTTCAGCTCACACTGCAACATYCCCTTGCTGCGCTGCACAGTAGATGTCTCGGGGCTGATTTCCAGAAGGGCTAAGTCATTGTCTTCCTCTTCTTTGCCTGTGACAGCCTTCTTTTACAACTGTGAAGGGTAAGTCCAATCCTAACAAACTAAATTCCCTGTGAGCTTGACTCAGCAAAGCATTAGAGCTTACATTTGATTGCTTTGAAGGGAACCTGTGTGATCTGAGAACAGATCCCAGTGCACCTCTGCTCTCCTGGTTTTAGTGGCTGCTTTACTTAAACAGCAGCACAGCTCCAGGTGCACAGAGCAGAACTGTGTGGAGACAGTCACTGTAGTCACTGTTACTGTCTGTAATCCAACTAGCTTTGTGTCAGATCCTTGCATCTCCCTGCATCTTCCTTAAAACAAAACCCCAACAAAAACAAAAAAAGCCCAAACCAAAAAAATCACGCTCAAAATGGCATTTCAACTATTACGTTTTTGTCTCTGACAGCAGCACACTCACAGCTGAAAGCAAGTCTTTGATGCAACAAACGAAGCAATGAGAAGCGATCCTCAGGTAGGATATGATCAGCCTGGCTGACTATATATTGCAAATTCTATGTTTCCCACACTTCCCTGTCCAGCTTTGGCTTAACAAAGACTCGCACATCAAACTAAGTCCCCTCTCAAATCTGTCTGTGCTGCACATTCAGCATTTGTTTAGTGAACAGAATTCCCCTGGCATCAGGAGAAATTTTAGCACAGAATGAGCCTGGAGCTCCATAAGCATCCTAACAGGAAAATATCAGGTAATCAAAATGAGAAATCTAATCCTCTGGTTCATGTGGTGAAAGAACTTACTGTAAACTGGCTTAAAATTTACAATGTAAAATATTAACTAGTGGTGGTGCAGCTGCTCCTCCTAATAGCTTTTGAATGTATCTGCCAAATTCAACCTTGACAGAGAGACTGTGTTTTAGTGATGAGTTTTGTGTAAAGAGGAAGCATGCAGATGAGATTGTTGGTACCCTCTCTGGCACTGAAGAGCTCCAGTTTTAGCCCAGATGCAGTCAAAAACTAGATAATCCACATAAACAAGATAGTTTGTGAATATGCAAAATGTGTTCCATTGTGTTCCAAAATTCCTCCCGAGCTCAACCAAAAGAAACTGCTCCTTATTCAGTGCTTCTGCTCCATGTTGTTTGCTTTGATTTTTAATTCTTTTTAATTTATTTAATTCTAAATATATATTTTTTTAAATTTCAATAGCAAAACCACCAAATAAGCCCCATCTGAAAGAGCCATACTTTTACCTGGGACCCAGGGTTTCATTTCTGTTTCTACAGAAATCCAGCAGTAGAATTCTAGCTCAAATAAACAGAAGCGTAAGCAGACCCAAGAAATACCTCTCATGCCTCCATCCAAACTGCTGACTTAAATTTGCCATGCTGCAATTTCAAATTCATAAACTCCACTGTATTTCATTGACTTTGGACTTAAACCACTACAGAAATAAAAAAAAAAAGATCCATACACAGATCAGTGTCTTTTGAAAAAAAATATTTTTTCTTAGATTGCACATTCAAAACTTGACTGTACACTGCACAGTATAGRAACACTAGTTTGCCAATCCAATTACCACCATGTAKGTTTGTGTTGATTAGTTCAGCTGTAGCCCCAAGGTGTCAAACTCAGTCAGCAGCAGGAGATGGACCCCAAATGTAATTACATTCAGTGGCCAAGACACATCTCCTGGGCTGCAGAATGTTCTCAGTCTGGAAATACCCTTGTCAGAGGGAGGTTTGGACAGTGTTCGGATAGATTGCAGTAGAGCTTTAAGGAAAAAGTGCTGCCCCAATTAGAGGCTGCCTGCTCATTCACCCACTACCATTTGCCTACTTTCTACTGTTTCCCAGCTCTCCCCATTTTCCCTCTGCTAACCGAACCAAGCACTGAATTTCAACCACAGTGGGATGACACAGGAAGCAAAAGCCCTCACATCCATGCTGGCAGACTTCCTCTGCAGCCCCAGGGRCTACAAACCAGAAGAAACATAGGCTACACTGGAGTGACTGCAGGTTTCATCCGAACTTTAGAGCTGTCAGGGAACAAAGGAAATTTTGTACTGGCTGTATTTGGATCACTGGCCATCTCTTTTCTAGGTCCTTGCAGCTACAAGGGCAAACATAGATCACCGTGGCATGGACAACACRTGGAGAAGACTGTTTTTTCAAGGACCTCGTCCAGTGTACAGCAGGATTTGTTTCACTGTTCTAATTGCTGCTTTGAGGGTGAGGGGACAGCCTACTTGCTGGAAACAGTAAGGCAGCTGTCCTTTCCACAGCTACCAGATTTTGGTGTTAATTAATGCTTCTCACCAAGGGATGTTTTACTTTAATAACCACTCAAATAAATAAATAAATAAATAAATAGATACATAAATAAAATATTACTTTGTGCTTTGTAAGCAACATTTGTCCAAAGTCTTTGAAGTGCTTTGCCAAGCCGAGTCTTATTATTTCCTGTGAGTTCCAGCAACCCAAAGAGCCCAACTCCACTTCCGTTTATACCAACAGAATCAAGTCCAGCCTATAAGGACTTGTCTGGCATTACAGAGTGAGCCAATAACTGACAGAGAAAACATTGCTCAGGTGCCCTAATTCCTACTTTTGTGCTGCCTGCCCTTAACACCACCAATCGTACCACGATTCAAAGAGCCAAGTTCTATAAAAATAAAAAAAAAATCCCTTCATTTTCAACACTTTTCGTGTAATGTCTCTAACTTTGCAGGGCACAAGGTGTGTTTGGTCTATTGTTGTTACTGTTCATTTGAGACCTTCCTTAAAGCCTTCTAGGAGGGTTTTGACCTGCTGTTACCTCCTGGGAAATTCTGGTAAGCAATCCACGCATGAGAGACAGCATGTCTGTGCCATATGTCAACCTTCTTCTGGTTTTCTCTTCTACTGTGTTGTACGTCAGAGGCATCCGCAAAGAAATGAGATCCTGTCTGTTCTTGCTGCTTCTCCTCCACGCTCCAGGTCTGACTGCTATCACCAGAGCAACCCAATACGGCATCACGGATGGTGAAACACAGAGCTGATGCTGCCCCGAGCCAGAGGAAAAAAGCAAAGTAGCTGCTTTGGATGTGTGCTTGCAACTCCAACTCAACAAAGAGTAAAGGTGAAAACCTGGAGCAGAACACTGTTGCATTTGAATGCTGCACACAGGGTACAGGTAGGCTTTTCACATTACTGGTGCATTTAATTGCAGCAGGACTCAGTTCTCTCTAAGCAGTATTGATTTAACTGTTATAAAAAAATACATGATCCTCACCTAAGAGAATCTGTAATGTACCTTATTTTGTGCAGCTACTCTTGTGCCCTGTATAAGAATTCAGCTGTTAGCACCAGTGAACAGAGAAATGCTGCCCTGCTCAGTAGACAATGATAAGAGCTGGGTCAATGTCTCACTATATGCAGCCTATAAAATGTTTGTAAGAGAAACTTGGAAAGAAGGAGAGGTGAGGATACCTGGGAGGGGCAACAGTTACAAACAGCAAACACAAAATAGTGTTTGTGAGCAATTTCAGACAGCTTCTGCCCAGCTCTCATCATGATGTCTACTTACATGGGCCTTGATCTGTGCTTTCCCTAGCTTGGTACCAGCAGCAGGCAAGGGGCACCCAGGGCATACAGCATTCTGTACTCCAGCCTTCCTCCCTTCAGCATGGGAGTGCTGCAGCAGCTTTGAAAATGCAGTCCTGTAATTCAAACCAAACTGCCYATCACTCCTGGCAGAATCAGTTTGGGTGCTTTTGGTTCTTCTTCAGCAGGCTCTAGTATCAGTAACCTCTGCTTGCACTTCCAGCTGGAGAATGCAGCAGTAGCCATCTCTGACTACTAACAATCAACCAGTAACCCAGAGGCTTCAAGCAGACTTTTGCATCCCTCTCTGAGAAAATACATGTGCTTGTGGGGTGGAGGACACAAAAACTTGCTTCCTCTCTGTAAAGATGACTGAGGTCAGTCCTTAATAYACACCCAGAATGAAAAACAAGATTTAAAACAGTATGTGAAATAGCTGCCACGTTTTTGTGCGGTACCCTGCTCCCCCAAAATAAGAAACTAGGGTGGATGTTGGTTTTCCTTGTTTTTTAAATGCTCAGCCAAGGAGCTTTCTGTCACATTACRATGGGCAACCAGTGATGCATCCTCACTCATCCATGATGAGATCTTTCACTTCTTACTAAGGTGAGCATGCAGTTCTGCTTCGAAAGCCATCTTGTCAAAGGTGCGCATGTTTGTCTCCTCCCGCACCTTTTCTCGGACGTGGAAGGATGCTCGAGCAACAGACCTGGCATTTTCTAAGACAGTCTTCTTCTCCTTGAAAATCTGCTCACTTCTCTCCAGCTTCCTCTCTATAGAGAGGAGAATTTCCCTGCGCCTTAGGTCCTCATACTGTTCCACCTTTTGCTTGTTCATCTTCTGCAGTTTTTCCTTTTCCAGACGGCTCATGACCACTCTGCGGGCTTTTTCTTGTACAGCCTCTTCAGCCACCTGGGCAGCATGCTGGAGCTTTCTCTCTGTTTCTCTAGCCAGTGCTTCCAAGTGCTCCTTCTGCTCTCTTTCCTTCTTCTCTGCTGCCAGTTTAGCTCTCTGGATCTGCATCTCCTCACGCCTGGCCTTCTCCCTCAGCTCCTGGTTCCTCTTCTCCACAAGCTGCTCGTAGTTCTCCTGAGCCTTCGTCAAACTCATCTTCAGGGATGCCTTCAGCATTTCCTTCTCTTCTGCCTCTTGCTTGGCCAGTTCCTTGAGCAAGGCCTCGTGCTTTAGCTTCTCTGCTTGGTTGAACAGTCTCTTCTCCTTCTGCAGCTGCACCTCCTTCTTCAGCCTCTTCTGCGCAGCGATGGACAGCTTCTCTTGCAGGAGCTGCTCCTCTCGTTCCTGGTGCTCCTTCTTGACYTCCTCCTTTGCCTTCAGGTTGAGCTCTTGATGGAGCTTTTTCTGCTTATCCTCCTGGATGGCCCTCTCCAGCCTCTCCCTCCGYAGTCGCTCCTGCTTCTCCGCTTGCTCCCGCCACCTCTCCTCACACACCAGGAGCTGCCTCTGCTTCAGCAGGGCGGCTTCCTCCTGCTCCTGGTTCAATCTCCCTCGCCGCTTCTCCACCTGGCTCTCCCACATCCGCTGACCATGCAAGAGGGCCCGCTGCTTCTCCTTCTCCTCCTGCTCCTTCCGCTGCTCAGCCAGGCGCCGCTGGCTGTCCCACTGCAGATGGGCCGCCTGCCGCTGCTCCCGCAGGATGTTGGCCTCCTGGTGCTTGGCGATCATCAGCGCCGCGATTTTCTTGTCTCTTTCAGGCACCTCTGAGAGACCCTTCTTCCTCTTCACCTCCCTGACGATCCTCTCGACTCTCTGGGCAGTCTGTGGCGAGTGGCTGAGATCGCCCAGRCTGAAGCTGCGCCCCAGCAGGGTCCCGTTCACGGCGGCTGCCCCCCGACCCCGGCCGCCCACCTTGCCCCCGCGCTCCCGCAGGCTCTCCCCGCTGTAGGACGATGAGGCGCCCGACTCGGAGGAGGTCTTGCCCCAGCTACCCTCCCGGCGCTTCTGCAGCGAGTCCAGAGAGTGGCTCTTGCCCTTGGCACCCCTCGATGCCCTAGCCTTCCCCCCGCCATGGGTCCGGGGTCCACCGGCAGCTGCGGCCGCAGCCCGGGAGGAGACGCGGGCGGCGGGTGAAGGCGGCAGGCTGCCGAGGGGCGCGAGGATCCGCCTCTTCTCCTCCCGGATAATCCTCTCCCGCTCCTCCCGGCACTGCTGCAGCTTGCGGCGGCGCTCCCGCTCGTAGGCCTCGTAGAGGCCGGCAGCGACCCGCATGGAGCGCCCGGGCGCCTCTCTCAGCAGGTCCCCCAGCGCTCGCGGCAGCAGCTCCACGGGCCGCACGGCGCAGCGGGCGCAGGCCTCCAGGGACCGCGGGCTGGTCAGCACGTACCGGCTGCCCTCCGCCGCCGCGCAGTCGAAGTTGTACAGGTCCAGGTGCAGCAGCGGCGACTGCTCTCCAGGACGGGCCGGCTCACCCCCCGCTGCCCCCCCGGGCGCCGGGCAGGGCTGCGGGGGAGGCTCGGCCGGCGGCTCCACCATGGCTCGGCCTGCGGGGCAGAGAGCGGCGGCGGGTGAGCGGGCGGGCGGCGGGCGCACAGACCCCTTTGTGTCCCCGGGCAGGGGCGAGAAGCGGCTGGGAGGGGGCGGCGGCGTCTGCACCGGGGAGCCTGGGCTGGGATGTGTCTGTGCAGGAGGGGGCAGGTCGCGGGAGGTGTTGTGCGCGGAGGGGCAGTGTCCGGGGGCGGGGGTGCCCGGGGCGGGGAGCTGTGTTTGGCCGGTCGGGCACAGGGGCGGGGTGGGGACACTTTAGGACGCGCGTGTTGTGTCCGGTGGTGCGCGCGGGGGTGTTCGGGGTGACGGGGGTGTTCGGGGTGACGTGGGGGGCGTTCAGAGTCCTGCGGCAGGTTTGGGCAGCGGCCGCCGAATCGTTCGGCAAGGAACAGGGGTGCTGGGACGCACGGCGTGTGTCTGGGCCGGCAGGGCAGTCTGGGCTTAGGGTGGCCGGGCTATGAACGCGGATGCTTTAGGTGCGCCGGGCTTGGCGGAGTGGCGGACGAGGGTGTCCGCGCGTCAATGGAGAAAGGGGAGCTCGGGGGTGTCAGGCAGGGCTTGGCAGCGGGACCGGCACCTAAGCCCGGCTCGCCGCCCGCGGCGCAAGACGGAGCCCCCCGCCCGCCCCGGTCCCCCGCGGCACTCACCGGGCGGGCGCGGCCGCAGCCCCGCTCTTTGTCTCGGTGCCGGCGGCCTCGGGGATCAGGCGGGCGGCGGCGGCGGCTCGTCCATGGCACCCCGAGCCCCGCGCGGCGCCCCCACCTGCGGGGCGGCGGCGGCGGCACGGAGGCCGCCCGCAGGCTGCGGCGCCCCGCGCTGCCCG